TCCTTAGATGCCTGAGAATCCCACCACGACCGGCGTCACTGTGCTGTCACCAAAGTATGCAGTCAGCCGACGAACCACCGGCTTTCTAGAGACCGTACATCACAGGACCGTGTGCCCCGACCTGTTAATGCAGTTTCTTGCCTTGTGCCTGGGTACATGATTTGACTTTGTGGGCTTTGAGATCTGTTCTTCATCTGTCAGAAAAGGAACAATGCTGAGTGCCTCTATACCTGCTCTTGCCCATGCAGGATTAATGAACATTTTCTGTGTGGCTTGGCTATCGGTAGCTGATTTTCATAGAATCATAGAATCATTAAGGTTGGAAAAGACCTCCAAGATCATCGAGTCCAACCATCGACCCAAGACCACCATGCCCACTAAACCATGTCCCTAAGTGCCTCATCTACTCGTCTTTTAAATACGTCCAGGGATGGGGACTCCACCACTTCCCTGGGCAGCCTGTCCCAATGTTTCACCACTCTTTCAGTAAAGAAATTTTTTGGTTAGTGCTGTGCTTAATATTCCCTCTGGCAGTTTTGAATGCTTAAAAATCTGCGCTTACTGGTAGAAACTATGACGTTGGTTTTGCTATTTGTGACGTATCCTGAGCCAGATGTCATCAGTGACAGCTCAAGCTACTTCACGTTGTTGCAGCTTGGGCTTATAGCATTTGTGTGCACTGCGAGAAGTTAATTTCTTGCCTTTTGTTGTGATTAATTTTGATTCTAAATATCCCAAACTTGTGTTACTGATGATTCGTGTGATTTCATACCTCTCCTACACAATGCGGGTTTAATGTCCTTGAACTAGTCAACAGGCCACTGCGTTCCCTTGCCTTCTCTAACACTGGCCATCCATACCGTAACCCTGCGTTCACAAAAGCGGATTAATTTGTCACACAACCAAAACTCTTCATCTGACATGATACAATTAATCAGCAACTTGCTCCAGGATTTCCCCATGTTCTGCCTCTCTTAAGGGTAAGAAAGTCCACTTACAAACTTTCTGGTCTCGCAGTAAAGGGGAGGTTACCAGAGAGTTCCTGCTGTTTACCAGATTTATGGATTGTATTGGAAGAGCCATAGCCAGGCAGATGACGATATTTGCTAATCACCTGGAATTACTCAGGACAATCAAACCTAAAACCAGCCTTAACGTGCTGTGGAAAAGTCTGACTGTGCTGAAATGCTGCATTTTAAAAGGGTGATTAAATTTGTTGTTGCTAACTGCACATCCTACCTATTCAAAGACCGGAGAAGGGAAATCATCCAAGCTGTGAGCAGTTCTCTCCATCTCCAGAAAAAGCAGAAATGGTACGGAGAGAGCGTGATCAGGGCTGGGATGGCTTCCAGGCAAGGAGGCAATCAATACAGTAGGACTCTCGGCTTGAAAAATACATGGCCCAGGCAAGGGAAATATGATAGGGGTGTATAAAGTCATTAATATTGTAGAGAAGAACAGGCAAACGTTATCATGGTGTGGGCTTAAAAGCAAACAGAAGTAATCCTTTTTGCTCAAAGCCTAATTAAATTGTGGCACTGTTGTTAGGGATGTTGTGGAGGTAGCTCTGGCTGGAAGTGACTTGTATTTTATGTGACGACCTGATGGAAACTGCCCTCCCTTAATGCAACACAGTGCTGAGGATGCAGCCTCTGGAGATCCCCATCCTGCTAACAGTGAAAATTTGGAGGCAGGTCATACCCTGTTCCCTACTTAACCCTTTCCAGAGCGCTTGCTATGCTGGCATCTCTCGGTGACATGTTGCAGAGCTGGATGGACCTTTGCTGTCTCTCATCGTACCGATTCTTGTGGTCCTAGAAGATAAACCAATTGTAAGTCAGGTAGCCTGAAGCTCTTATCAGTAATACGAGTTTGCTGTATTTCATACCAAATTCTTGCTTATGAAATTCAGCATTAGGGTTTTTTTTGATCTTGACCTGCACTGGGAGTTTTTGTGTTTATGTTTTTCCTAGCAGGATGTTATATCGGTGTCACAGCAAATGTTGTCTCCCTTCCTTGGATGCTTGGACACCTATGCAGGTGTGCTTGGTTCTTCCCAGTACTATGACAACTTGTCATCTTAGTATTACTTTACTTTGTTCTTCCTGATCTACAGCATTCTTTGAAAGGCTAAGGTTTGAATGTGATTTTTTTTTTCTTTCATCAGAGAATGAGATTAAGCTGAGGCAGTAAAAAAGATTAATATTTTCTGGATTGACGTAGGTGTGTGACATCTCATTTTATTTAATTGAAATTTGACAAGAACAATACTGAAGTCTGGAAACCCACAGAAGAGCATTTGGATCCTTCAGGGGGTGGTTGTTTTATGTTTCATATTCTAGAAATATCAGGGGAAATAGGAGTTTTGTTTCTACAAAATTGAAAAGCTGCTTTGTCTGTTCCTTTCTATTTCTTTAGGAAGCCAAGAATTCAGAAGAAACTTCCTTCAGTGGAGGAGATTCTTCTTCTGTGAAGGTCTTTCACCCCCCACGCCCATGCTTGATTTTAATATTCTGTGCTGATTGCCTCCCCCAGAAGAGTTGAAGTGCAAAAAACCTGTTAAAATGGTGCACTGTTACTCATCCTGTATACTGGGCTCGAATCTAGCCTAATTATGTCACTGCCAAAATTAAGCACTACTCTTTTAGCCTTACTGAGTGAATATCAGCCTGGGAAACAGATTTTGCATCAACTGAGTCATCAGGAAAATTCTGATTGCGGAGCCTTTTGTTAGTGATGGGGATACAAGGAGAGGGCACAGCTGCACCTTTTGATGGAAGCAGAAACTAAATTGGTTTGTCAGCTGGGCACCTTTGAGAGTCCTGGTTTATACGATGTCCGCAGAACAGGTCTTCTGCATTCACCCAGTACTTTAGGGGAATTGAATTCCCTACGGTGCTGGATACGGCCTGACATTAGTACTACAGGAGCAGCTAATTTAAGGCATAATTTGTTGCAGTGCTTTGTGATGTACCTGTCAACAAACTGCGGCAGAAATTCGCTTTATTATAAAGAGGAGGTGAGTCTCGCTGCTTATGGGGAATAACGACAGTGATTCACCTTTTGGAAATGTGTTACTGGGAAAACCAGGCTTTGTTTTACTGCCTCTGTCCAGGTATTCCCTGAGCGTGTGGAGCACTGGCAGGAAGATGCCAGCTTATAGAAAAGCAGGAAACACCTCTCCAGGTAGAAGTAGTTACTAGACATGAAGCAGTCCACAGGTAGCACTGATGTCCGAATCTTTCATCACACCGAGTCCTCTTTTAACGCAATAGTTTTGGTCTATCTCCAAAGCACCTTCTCTTCCCCTGGTGTCCACCGTTATGATTTTCTTGCCTGCGCAGTGCTCGTTCATCAGTATTTGGCAAACGATACGATAGAAAAAGAAATCTTGCTTCTGGGCACTAGCTCCCTAATTTGTGCTGGGTAGAATTGGGCATCCAGAAGTCTCCGGTGATTGGAATGTGTTTGGCCAGATTTTACCTTCCTGGGGTATTTTTTTTTTTGATGACAGTAAAGCAGTGTTTCTGTATGGGTAGATTATGACTTCTAAAGGAATTACGGCAACGTGGGAATAAGTGCAAAGCCTGGAGCAAACTGGAGCCCAAAACCCCATTCTCTTGTGGCATCTGTGTTACACAGTCTTGTTGTTATGATCCTTAATTTAAAATACAGCTTTTAAAGATCCTACCCTTTTTTTAATTTTTTTTTTTTTTTTTTTTAATAACTTTAGCCTTTTGGACTCACTACCTTTTATTTGCATTGCTGGACTTGATAGCATCCTTCCTAACAAATTTTTTTTGTTACAGAATATTTTCAGAATTGCAGACGGTTGCCTGTGTAGCTCTAAGAACACGGAGGAAGGCAGCTTGAGGAGTGTTTATTGGTCTTTATTGTAATGCTGTTCTCGCAGTCCTTATACTTAACTATGGTAGGATAGATACGGAAGCATATACTGAATTAATTTGGTCTTGTTGTTTTCCTTCACAGTCCTGATGTTGCCCTACATACAGTATTTAAATACTAGATCTGTTTACAGATATGTTAAAGTTTTAACTGTTGCAATAAATTCCAGGAAACTTGAGCTGCAATTAAAACTTGCTGCTGTTAACTTAAACCTGGTGGATTTTATTTATTCTGTTCCCGACAGTGTTTCTAAGTTTCTTCTACATACCACGCTGTTCAATTCTCTCCATAGTTTTTCTACCAGCCACTCAGCTGTCGGGACAGGTTGACTTTCTGTTTGAATGATATTTCTTCCAAAAATCAGAGGAGATTGCTAGGAAAGCTGTAATCTCATGACAAGTAGTACGTGGTAAATTAGTAGTAACCTTCAGTAAATAGCGGACACTCTGCTTTTCAGAACTGTGGTGTCAAGGTGACTTCTGAGAGGGACATAGTCTTTTTTTAATTATGATTCATGGGCTGAGTCATAAATTTAGGATGGCTTCCTGCGTTCCAGGCACTGGAGCGCTCCCAGTCAGGTCAGCATCAGGCATGCTTTAAGGCTAGAGCAAGACTATTAAATACAAAGGTATTTAATGACTTTTGACTCTGACTTTTGAAGCGCCTCATCTGTGGGTCATTGTAAATTGGGAGATTGTACTGGGACAGTATCACTGTGTACCCTGTTCTTCTTTTCCCTTGGCTTAGGTCTGTGTAGTCTAAATTACCATTGTTCAGTCTTCCTTGGCATTGCTTTACAAGGAAAATATTCTTCTCCTTGTGTCTCCAGTGGTTTTCCTGTGCATCTTTGTGATCTCCTCAATAGGAGCAACAATTAGGGGGGAAAAAAAAAGGAGGATTTCTTTACTGACCATAAGATTGCTAATATTGTAGTTGTATGGGAATTTCACTGATGCATCATATGCTTCCAGTCCTAAACTGCTGTGTAACACCAGTGTATTCTCTTCAATGTATGTAATGATGCCTGTGTGCCAATTTAAATGAAAGATTTTAAAAATACCTCTTACTGATTTGTTTGTTTGTTTGTTTGGTCTTGCAGCCCTGGAAGAAAGCGTGATTTTTCGCCAGTGCTTTGGAGCCAGTACTTTGAATCCATGGAGGACGTTGTGGTAGAAAATGAAACTGGCAAGGATATATCCTTTTTTCTAGATTGAACTTTTCTTATTCTCAGTGACTGGAGCATTATCATATTTAAGTTTATCATTGAGTTTATTGGGGTTCTCAATCTTTTTCATGCATTTCTTCTTATCTTCCATTTCTTTTGTAGGGATCAGTATCAGTAACTAGAGCTATCCCTTCTAAGCTGACAGTTAAGATGTATCTAGCAAGGTCAGTTCCTGGTATTGCTTCTTTAGTAATCGTTAATTTAAAAAAAGTGTTTCCAACAGTTCAATAACATATTTTGCAGGGAAATACTCATCAGTTCCCATGGTTTAAACTGTATCAGGATCAAAGCTGTTTATTGATTTTTATTAACAACAGGTAGTTAATCAGCGTATATTCAGAATCAGTATCAGCAGTACAACAGATAAACCTCAACACTAAACACTTAGGTGTTAATAAATACCTGCAAATTTCTAAGCGCCTTTCTACAGCTAATCCCAGGAAGTTTGTTCCTGTACACACGCAAACCAACATACATGCACAGTCATATGCACCCCCAAGAAGTGTGGGTTACAAGCGTGCACGGTCTCTTCTGGGACTGCAGGATCTCCTGCTTGCGCACATCTCCTGTGGGAGATGTGGATGCTACCCATGCTGCTCCCACTAATGCAAATGACACTGAGACAGCACCACGTGAGGTCACATAGATACACCTGAGGTGTGGGTCCCTACTTGTTGCACCCCAAATTGTCGGTCCACTGGCTGGTGTGCAGACGGGGAAGCTTCTCGCTCTGGCTAGGGCAGAGGCGGTGATGCCATCAGAGAGTCTTCTGGCAGCGTCAAACCAGGTTTTGACTCATGCTGTTTCCTCTCCAAAATCTCTGCCCCCTTTGCAAACGTTCGTGTTTCTTTTATACTTCTTTTCAAGCTGACTCCTCTTTGCCAGTCTTCCAGTTACTGTTTAATCCAGCTGATGGCATTCATCCTCTTTGACGTGCTCAAACCACTGTTGGATCCAGGCCATTTGCTAGCTGGGAGCGCCCCAACAAGTACAGTGTGTGAAGGTACTGGGACAAGACTTCCCATCAGTCCTACCTCTGCCTACAGCTCTGACAAAAGCAGGTTTGGGAGGTACTTCCAGGTCTTTTGACCTAATTACAAAATTAAAACATTTTAATCTGTGTTTAAATAACACAACCTTGTAGTTTAAATAGTTGCATAGTTTTTAAGCATGCAAATTCTAGCTTGGCCATGAGGAAAACCAAACTTTCAAGCTATTTCTGTCCAAATACCAATTTAGTAATTACTTCTCTAATGCCAGTAGCATGTGATGCTTTGAAATGAGAAAATTCTCTCTCCCTGTTGTTTTGCTCAGCTTGTCGTTATTTTGTGTTTATTAACTGCATTTGTCCAATTGATCCTATAAATTCTTCATGATATGCACCTTGTCTGCCTTTGATGTAAGGGCCATGCACACCCCTGAGGCTTCGTAAATAATAAAATAAAAAGGATAATAGACCTATTTGGGTAGGTGGTATATGTAAGCATCCCAAATTTAAGCAAATCTTAGTTATTTGGGATTTATTGTGTTACCTATGACCTTTAACAGAAGCTTGAGCTCCCATATGAAAGGTTGTGGACAGACGTGTACCGTGGAAGCAGCTGAATTTATGAGTGGCGTTGGTGCCCCCTGTTCTGCCCCAGCTACCTGTTACCGCTCCATCAGATCTCCTTGTGTGAACAAACGCCAGCTGATGAAACTGTTTTAAGCTGACACGGCTCACTGTAACTGTGAAATGGCGTAGGGAGCACCTGCGTGAACTGTTTGCAACCAGCAGATCCGAAGGGCACTGCAGTATTCAGCAGAAAAGTGATGAACAGCTTGGTCAGTAACCGCAGCTAGCCTGGTTAGATTCAGAGGAACGCTTTTGTCCACCTCAAGAACAGAGGGAGAACCGCAGAAGGCGGTGAAGTGGCTTGTCGGATCTGTTGGTCACAGTTTTGGGCGCTGAACACAGATCTCACAACTCCCGGTTCTGTGCCTTTCCCTAAGTGACATTGTTTTTAGTGATAGTTAAACTGATTTTTCAGTGTCTACGTATATACTGCAAGGGGACTTTAGCTACCGTAATGAAGCGTCTTTGCTGTGTATGTTCCAGAGGGTGATTATAAAGCCCTAAAAATCTTGTTTACTGGCTTATCTGACATTTTTCCTTGGAAATAATAGGAAAATACTCCAGAAGTACATGCTCCAAAGTGCATGCTGATCCTGGTTTGGTTTTTCTGCAAGGGGACTTTAGCTACCGTAATGAAGCGTCTTTGCTGTGTATGTTCCAGAGGGAGATTATAAAGCCCTAAAAATCTTGTTTACTGGCTTATCTGATTTTTCCTTTTGGAAATAATAGGAAAATACTCCAGAAGTACATGCTCCATTTGGTTTTTCTTAGTTGTTCAATGGACTGTTGCACACAGGGGGAAAAGGGTGCGGGCAGGAGATGCGTGGATTACAGGGAGCAGGAGACCTGGGCAGCGGGAAAACAGCTCTTGAAACTTAAATAAAGCAGGTTAAGTTTTGTCCAGGTTATGCTTGCACGTGCCTGTTGATCAGAGGCAGAAATGAGGCCTTGGGTACATACACAAGGGTAGAAACAAAACACTGTTGGGTATTGCAGACCCCAAAATACATTCAGCTAAGTAACTTACTTCAAATAACTCTACGAAATGTCCTTAACTGTTCATACACTTTTCGAATTTACAAAAGCGGATTGGAGGGGCCTGTCTTACTGCTGCTACACGGTGGAGGCCATTCTGCTCTTTCCTGGGCTGTATTTACTGTAAGTAAGCTGCTGCTTTATAGAAGTATATAGGTGTGCAAATACAGTTGTCTGAGTGTGGAAGGCAACTAACCATTCGGCTGCGTTAAGCACAGGAAAATCAATTCAGAAAACTGTCTTATAATCTCCTGGTGTGCACCTGACTCAAGACTTCTAAATATTTCACTGTCGGTGTATTTATTAAATAGGCAAAGCACATGCAAAGGTTTATTGTCTAGGTTTTAATTATCAGCTGTAACCACAAGTAGCTTGCATGTTTTAATGAAGTGCCAAGACATTTCTCATCATAGCATATAGTTTTTTTTTTTGGAAGGCTGCTTTTCCATGACTGCCGGCGAAAGTTCAACAGCTTTATCTCATCATAACAATATTATCTTTGCATGGTTGAGGTCCTGTTTGACTTGTCGAGAAATCTCATTTGCTGCTCGAGCAACTCTGAAAAACAAACTGAGGTGGTGTCAATAGGAGTGAGCGTGGGGAGTCATCAAACCAAAATTCCTCCCCCCACCCATTCCCTTTAAAAAATAAAGGGAGTTAAGGAAGGAAACTTTTTTCAAGGATTTCAAGTAAAGTAAAATCACTTGCACTGTGTGATTTTTATTTGGGACCTTTTTAATCCAGGAACTCTTCGAGCTGTCTAGCGCCCGTAACAGAAGGATGCTATAGGATGACTTTCATGGAAGTGTGACTGGACAGATGAAGTCTCTGCGTCTCCCCTGTGCCTTTGGCTGTGTCATATTTGTTACCTTGCAGCAGTCTGGTGGGCTGTAGATCACTTAGCCTTTAAAGCAGAGATTCAAATGAGTAACAAGAATGAACGTTTCACGAGAGTCACTACCAACTGCTCTTGAATTCCCAACATGACTACGGTTGAGTAATCCTGACGGTGTAATCATAAACCATCTTACATGATGATGAGACACATTAGAAAAATACTTTGCTAACTGGGCTGTAGTTTTGGTGTTGAATAGTAGTTTTACACCTAACAGTTCATTTGTAACTTGAGCTGACTCAGAGACCGGTGTCTTCTGAAACTGTTGAACTTTAAGTCTTAAATCTCTGTCTTACTAAATGCTGTACTTACTTGCTTGTAGCTCATTAGTTGCCAAGATGGACAGATGTCTTTTCCTCTGCTGGTTTAGTGTTTTTGTTATGGTATACAAGTGCCTTAAACAGATGTGGTGAAGGTCACTGCTCTTAATCGGAGGCAGGGGTATGAAGTCACGTTTTTCTGAGTTAAGGAAAGGGCTTCTTACAAGACGCTTCCACCCTCTCTAGAGCTCTTTATTTCCAATAGCAACACCAATACCATTTTTACATTTAAAAATCTCCAGAGTTGAATTTAGCAGAGTGATTGCAGTTACAACACCGTACCTTACAGTTACTAGCTTTTTATGTTACTGTTAGCAATTAACAAAGTTAGATCATATACAAGATTCACATAGATTTACGCCTTGCACTTGAGACTGCATCTGGAGAAAGAAACAGCCACAACAATTAGCTCATGCCTTTGTGTGGCTGCTATAGAATTATTTCCTTTGTGCATTTTGAAATGAAAGTTTGTCCCAAGCAATCAAGCGCTAAATGTTTGGGATGAACCCGAACTTAAAAAAAAAAACAAAACAAACCAAACAACCCCTCCCCAAAAAACCCAAGAAGAAACCCAAATTGGGAAGCATTGAGAGTAACCATCTATAAATAAAATAACAGCCTGCAGGAGTGGCATGCTCCTTTCTTCTGTTGCTTACTGGCCTGGTAACTTCCTGGATGATGTGTTTGTACTTCTCTTGGCCAAAGTACTCCTATTTGGATAAAACTCAGGGCCCTGGAAAGCTTCCCATTATCTCACATCATGTTGATGATCCTCTTTCCTTACTCCCTACTGACGATAGTTTGATTTTTAGCGGCAGACTGCTCATCTGACCAGTTAAATTATTGCTTAGGTGCGTAAGCACCTTGCAGATTGAGGTTTCAGGGTGTCTTTAGGGGCTGTAAAATATTCAGTGGTTTTTGAGAGAGCAACTGCTACAGTCATTTAGGGGTTGAACAGCTGAACAACCAGAATATGAGGACTGGGTAGCTTTCAGATCTCTGCCCATTATGTAGGTGGTTCTATTAAGAATCCCTCAACAAATTCCCCCACTCCTGCAGGGCTGTTATTTAAATAATCAGTGATTCCTTAACGCAAAAGTCTTCCTTTCAACAAAGAATGCCACTTAATGACTGCGATGCCTGAAATAACTTACATAAATTGAGCTGTCGGGGACAGAGCCATAATCGTATTGCAGCCCTGCCTTACTTCAGAAAGATTCCTCACTTGTTCCCCCCGACCCCTTTAGACTAATCAATTTTTGTACGTTTCAGCCTTACTGTAAAATTCTGTTCTTTGAGGGCAAATTGAATGCGTGCTGCAAAGCAGCTGCTTCATCTTCATGTCTGCTGTATAGCCAAGGCTAATTTTATAACGTGTGGGGCTTGGGGAAGGGGGGCATTACTTTGGTGTCTGTAATCCCACTGCTGCATTTCAGTTTTCAGAGGTGCTACAGAGCTTGAATTCATTATCCTAGGAAACACACGTAATGTCTTATGCACAGTGAAATAAATGTCCTCAGAGACGGCGTTAACAATGGTAGAAAGGATGGAGCTTTGGTTAATTAAGGATAATTTATATGGAATATTCTTGCTTGCTTTCTGTGACACCTCGTGCAATCCAGGTTCAGCCGCTTTGTTGACAGCAGAGGGTTTTTGTCGCGCCGTCCAAGCCTTTGCTGTTGTTCCAGGGAGTGCTTAATGTTGCTAATCCTTTTGTAGATGAGGTGTGGCACTTTGCAAATTATATTATCTTTGTCCCTTCTTGCAGTCTGCAATCATCAACAGGATTCAGTGTAGGATTGTGGCTTTAGATCTCCGAGGCCATGGTAAGTACAATAAATTTAAAATCACATAAGCATGTTACACACTCTCGTTTTTTAAAGAAGATGTAATGAATCCCTCCCAAGATGACTAAGAAAAAACAGCCTTAAGGCATCCCAATTTTTATTCAAAGGCAGGGATGGAAAAGTGGCTTCTAGAGCTCCGCAGCCACTTGTCCTCACATGCCAGAAGCTGAGACTCCCTGCGCCTTCGTGCGAGGCGGTGGTGGACTTGTTCCTTCCTATGTACTGGCACCAACCCCCTCCTTCATATTTTCATAACCTATAGGCGGCCTTTACCATAAGGTCTGTTGTTTAGTTTTAAGATACATTGCAAATATGGAACAGTTATGGGGAGCGTTTCCTACCCGTAAGCTATAATGCGATAAAGTACCAACTGTTCCTATTAATTCTGGGTTTCTTAATTATTCATGTTAACTGCAGAAGGCTCGCTCTTAATAACTGTGCCAAAAAGCTTTGTACAGTTGCTGCTCTAAGTCCTGAGGGGTCTGAAAGTTTTCAGCTTATGTGAACTTAACTACTTTTGTTCTTCCAGGGGAAACAAAAGTTAGGAATCCTGAAGATCTGTCTGCAGAGACTATGTCAAAGTAAGGAAGCTTATGTTCTCTCTTCAGTGTTTCATTTTTCACAAACCTTTATTTTCTTTCCTTGATGGAACAATAAACTACTTGAGGACACACAACCTTCATTCAAGGGAGCTGGAAGATAGTTTCATTTCACATGATTCTGGTAGTTATCCCTTCTTTTCCTTCCGTGTTGGGACAGTTTGAAATTTATTTGAAATTATACCTCTTCCAGCTGAGTCAGATTCCAAACTGGAGTCGTTCTCTCAGTTTTAAACTCACTTTAAAGGTCAGTGGCTTCATTGCAGTGAACACTTTAAACCTGCAACACACTATAACGCTTGCTAGAGATTTTAGAAGGGAAATGCTTTCCTCGGTCGTAACCGGCTGGGGCATTTTGGTTTGAAATCACCAGTTTGGTTCTTCCTTGGCTCCTTGAGCAAGCGTTCAGAGCGTGCCTGCCTCGGACTGGCAGCATCCCCAATGTGTGGGTCGCAGACTGAGCCTTTCAGGCGTGGAGGGAGTTGCTTTTTCAAACTATCACGACCTGCTTTGGGATGCAAATCCCCCTCTTGACAAAGCTGTAAGAAAAGCAAATACCCGCTGCTAAGCACATTACGTTATGTCCGCTTTTAGTACAAAGAGACTCTTTGTTATGACTACAATTAAATCACAAAGGATTTTGTAACCTTCATATGAACAAATCCACTTGGTTTGTTGTGAGGAGGCCATGTGTGAAATGTATTCTGACTTCCATTGTATACCTTATTGCTACTGCGTATGGCTTGTCAGATCCTGATGTGTTATTGTCCTGAGGAGGTGCTGTATGAAATGATTAGGATTTTTTAGATCTGGAGCAGCACTACCGTGGGAGGAAAACAAGTTCCTTTTGTTTTTAAACCTTTCTCTCCTCTTAGCAATGAGCTTGAAAGTTATTCCTGAACAGCCTTTAAATGGGAGCCTTAAATTATAGCTGGGTTTCTTTTTTTTTTTTTAATCAAATCCTCAAGCAGTTTTCTCTGACAGAAAAAAAAAAAAGGTTGACCAGCTTGTTTGCTTTTTTTTCCCCTTGTTTTCCATTTTCTAGTTGCAATACTGCTCAGGTCTCCGCTTCCTCTGAATGGTTTTAGTCCAGAAAGCCAATTTGGGTGTCTTAAACTACAGTGCTCTTCAGTAGATTTCGATCATTAGCTCTGCTGTTGTTTTGGTTCTTGTGAATCGCACTAGCCAGCTTTCACATACTGCAGTGACAGCTTCAGTTTAAAGTAGGTGCCTTATGGAAAGGATGGGGAAATTGCCCCTTGCCTTGTAGTATCTGTGCTCATAGAGAGTCTGAATCTTTTTGCTTGTGCTCAGTGTTGTTTATTTTTGCCTTGGTCAGTAGGGCTCAGTTATTTTCTCTCTTTAACTGCAAAAGGTTTCTTATTTCAGAATGGCAAATTTCTTAGTCTATGCTTCCATGCAAGAGGATTTGACAGCTTTCTCACCTTTTGTTTCAAATTCCCACCAGCTAATGTCAATGTAAGATATTCTCTTCAGGGATTTCTTTTAAGTGAGCACTTTCTGTTAATAAAAAGGGAAATGACATGCTTGTTCAGGAAAGTGTTGGCTTGAATGATTTCCTGTATTGGTGCCTAGATGAAACAGTGATAAGAGAACAAGCTTGTCTCAATTACCTGTGGGTTAAATGAGCATGCAGAGAGGATTTGGAGCCGGACATCTGTCTTGGATCTGCACTTTCTCCTCCCATTGTACAAATCTGCTTCAGAAATGTATCAAGGTAGAGATGCCAACCATGCTTTTATCTCAATTTGGCAGAGACGTTGGAAACGTGGTTGAAGCTCTGTATGGGGACCTTCCTCCCCCTATCATGCTGATTGGGCACAGCATGGGGGGTGCCATCGCAGTGCACACGGCGGTCGCAAATTTGGTGCCAAGTTTACTGGGTCTGTGCATGATCGATGTTGTGGAAGGTAAGTGTGTGTACCCTTGGATAGGCTTCTGTACCCTGGGGTGGGGTTCTGTCGTCCACGTTGATCTTTTTCTTTCATCCCCAGATCCCTGAATACAGAAAGTTTTGCCCAGTTTTTAAACCAATGCCAATTCCATCCTCCGAACAGATGCTACCTACACAGAAGTCTTTCTAGTGTGACCCCTCCTTTTGCTTTTCCCAGATGGGCTCTCTGTTTGCTATTTCCCTGATAATTTCTTTGCAATACTTTCTTGTTAGCGGGGAAGAGGGTGGCTTTTTATATAACACATGGTGCTGATGAGTGGTTACTGCCTTCTCTGAATGTTCTACCTGTTCAAATATTAATTCTCTAATGTGGGAGCAGGTGTGACTGTGGGCTTAAGAGTACTAAGCTGTGCTTTCCTTAACAGCATTAAATCCCCAGTGAGCTCCAGCTCTCTCTGAGGGTGTTCCCTGGTAGCTGGTTTTGTATAGAGGGATGTGGCAATTATTCCATCAGATGCCATAAAGTTAAAATACTTGGTTTTAGGTACAGCCATGGATGCGTTGAACAGCATGCAGAACTTCTTAAGGAGTCGTCCCAAAACATTCAAGTCACTTGAGAATGCCATTGAGTGGAGGTAATGCATGGGCTTATGTAGTCTCCAAAATCACTTGTCTTTGTAGCTTGACTCCTGAAGGAAACAAAGTTTATATAACTTGTCTGTTTTCTCCTTTCACGCTCACTTCCCCAACTATTATCACGAATTCCTTGGCTAATTTGACAGGGAGAGAGAGGTCTCAAAGATAATTAATTTCCTGGGAGAGTTGGCTAGGCATTGGAGAAGGATCCTCTAAGAGCTTCAACTAATGGAAAGCTTCATGGTATGAATTGCAGCTTCCTTGTAAGTGTCCCAGCTATTACAGAAGAAGCTTGAGACATCCATCCCATGTGTAAGAAACGGGACTTATTTTTGATTCAGCAAGAAAGGGAGAGGCCTCGTGGTTAAGTTTGCAGATTGGACTACAGAAAGCCCAGTTCTGTTGCCAGATACCCATGTAGTTTCTGACCTCTCCCTGTCCCCTGCAATGAAATGGGTATAACCCTGTTTCCCCACCCGCACTTCTCCCACGTATCTTTTAAATTCACAGTTATGGTGACAACGGGGGGTTCAAGTAAGTCGGCGTGTAGTGTGAGCCGCTCCGAACGCCTTCCGAGAACAGGAGGTTTGGGAATGGTTTGGGGAAATCGTGAGCTGTAAAGGGGTTTTGCTCCTCTTTCTGGGCCTGCTAGTTCCTGAATCTGTTTAGTAAATATTTCTGCCCTTCTTCTGATTTTTTTTTTTTTCCCCCCCTAGTGTAAAAAGTGGACAAATAAGAAATCTTGAATCTGCCAGAGTTTCTATGGTTGGTCAAGTCAAACAGTAGGTGGTTTTTGTTTTGTTTTGTTTTTAAAGCTCTTAAAATCATCTTGTCTATTTTACAATACTGTTACTACAGAGCATAAGTGCACTTTTAGGGTTTTTAGGTGAAAATTTCTTCTAGCAAATACAAATTTCTTATCATTTGATCACAGTTGATACCTGCAGCAGCACTGAATCATAATCATGGCACTTGGAGATAACCTGGCCAAAATTTCCCTGGGGCAAAATCTGCCAAGAGCCGTGTTTTAAAAAGTTTAACTACCGCTGGTTGTGTATTCCTTGGTTTGTCTGCCTTTTTGCACACATTAAGAAATAAGTGTTAGTCTGATGCCTCTTCAGAAATTTTGCCCTAAATCAGGTTGGCCTTCCGGGTATGATATCTTTCACTTCCTTTTAGAAATTGTTTAATTATCTGTTGCATTTCAGGAGTGATCTGAGGTGGGTTTGGGGGAATCAGAGTGACCTGCCTGTGCCACTCTAATCCTTACCATAGCCGGAGCCTTTACAGATGTCTCATACTCCATTAAAAAAAGCTGCTGTTGATTGTTTGACCATTTCTGTCTCCTTTAAGTAGCTGTTTGCGTTTATATTTGCACTGGGATATATGTGCTGCGCAGGCACTTGGTCCCGTGACTAGTCATGACTGTATTTTTCATCCACAGCTACTTTTAAACTTGGGGGGGGATTTTTCTCAGCCAGTATCTGAGAAATTGCTGACTACTTTAGGTTAAAAACGCTGTTGATTGTTTGACCATTTCTGTCTCCTTTAAGTAGCTGTTTGCGTTTATATTTGCACTGGGATATATGTGCTGCGCAGGCACTTGGTCCCGTGACTAGTCATGACTGTATTTTTCATCCACAGCTACTTTTAAACTTGGGGGGGGATTTTTCTCAGCCAGTATCTGAGAAATTGCTGACTACTGTAGGTTAAAAACTGTTTGGTTTTTGTTTTGTTTTGTTTTGTTTTGGCAGGGAATCAGTTTCTGGTTTTATTTTCACAGGTGCGAAGGGGCTGCCAGTCCTGAATGTCCTAAAGCCATAGTGGAGGGTATTATTGAAGAAGAGGAGGAGGAGGAAGAGGATGAGGAAGGGGGAGGCTCTGTCAACAAAAGAAAGAAAGAAGATGACACAGAGGTAGGGAGTTTCTTGCTGTGTTTTCAGCTCGTGTTTGCACGATGCTCCCTTGCAAGAGAAGTAGCCTGTAGCTATCCAAATCATTCTAACATAAAAGGGAGCAACTCCAGGGACCAAAAACTTTATATTGTGGCTGTTGTTTTTCTTCTTTGTCTCGTGCCACTGATTCTACCTTGGACTGTCACCTGAAAGCGTGTGTTTGGTTTTCTTTCCTCAGACGCTCACAGATTTAGTGCGTATGGCCTGAAATGAGGCTTCTGGCCTGAATGAGGAATGTTTTTTTCCTGAGCCTTTGTGGTATTTTTGTTTGTTTCCAAGGCACAGTAGCATTCAGGAGGTCGTACAGGCAATTGCAAGCTAGGAATGTAAATTCCTCAAGGAAAATCGTTGTAGCCAGCTTAGCCCCCTTTACTTCTGTGTCACCTAAGTAAGAGCCAAGTCTGGATGTTCAGACAATTTGTGAGCTATTTGTGCCAGTAAAAAATAGCAAATTGAGTGCCCTGAAAACTGCAGCCTTCTCTTCATCTATAGGTGTAGCTCCTGCTGACTTTCTTGTTCCCTACTTGTGTACTTCGGCTGTGATCTGGAGAGAAATTTAGGAGCAAGGAGGGTCATCCCCTGGAAGTGTGTAATCCACCAGAGGGAGCCAGTATTTTTTATATATACTTCCAAGTGGCACTCTGAGTTCATTTTATTTCAGCTGTTTTACTGATCACTAATGCAGAGCTCTCTCTCCTCCCTGCAGACAAAGAAGGAGCACTTATACACGTGGCGAATTGAACTGGCGAAAACAGAAAAGTACTGGGATGGCTGGTTCAGGGGTTTGTCTAACCTCTTCCTAAGCTGTCCAACTCCAAAGCTTTTGCTTTTAGCTGGTACGTGTCTCTTCCAGTCCTGTTTAGGTTCAGTGGCTGTTCACTTCAGTGATGTCCCAGTTGTATTTTAGAGAATAGGGTCAGCGTTTGGCTAATGTCTTCCTCTGAGACTAGCAGATCTGTCTCTTCCACCTTGACTTTTCTATGTATCTTGAAATATCATAAACCACACTATTTGATCCGTGCAGATCTGGAATTAGTTCAGAGTCTCTAATATCAAAATAGCACATGTATTGCTGCTGTTGGTTGGGTGTTTTTGTTGTATGACGTGGAAGAAGAGCAAACAGGACAGATCCAAGCTGCCCTTCAGCCTCCACTACTACAATATTTTCCTACAGATATGGGCGTGATTTGAACTTTTCAACTGAAAGTCAAATTATCGATGTTCTAGAGCCAGCTGTAGGCCCTTTTTGTGCCCTGATAGGAAATTAAGTGTGTAACGAAGATAAACAAGATAAATACCCTTTTAAGTTGTAGGGAAGGATGTGTTCTTGCATTTTTGGCTGGGATTCTTTCCTGTCGCTTTACTCTCTTGAGGTGCAGCAGTGAAAAGTCCTTGTGCATGTCAGAGATGATGTTTCTTTTTGAGTTTTTCAAGCCAAATGTCTCCTTCAAAACATCGAGTAAAGCCCTGCTTAGACAGTCATGTTCTCTCTGGCTTTTCTCCAATACATCTGTTTATTTGATTGTAGGTGTTGACAGGCTGGATAAAGATCTAACAATTGGACAGATGCAAGGTAAATATTTAATATTGTTACTCTATCCTTACTGTAATGCTCTTTTTGGATGATAGCTTGTTGCTATGGGTACATGGACAAGAGATGGCTGGAATGGCCTCTTACCAGGTGCAGTCTATATCGAAACAAATGTGCATTAAAGAATTAGTTCATCCCAAAGTGTTCTCTAACTGTCTGTGGTTGTGGGAAAGGTGGAGAAGTTGAGAAGGGAAAGGTCGAATGAGAACTTGTGAAGGGCTGTTGCCATGGTTTTTGTTCAGTCTAGCGTTCAGCGTTTCCAGTAATGGGGCTGCCACACTTCTCTTGGATCAGAATGATTGTCTGTGAGGGTTTCTTTCTAATCTGTTTTTTCCCTTTCTAACTACATTCCTGATGTTCCTAGCTAGAAAGCTTGGGACCATCTAAAACTGTCTGATCTCCCAGTGTTTCTGGCAGACATCAGACCAAGATTCAGCATCTGCATTAATGTTTTGGTTTGGGTTTTTTTTTCCCCATCCCAGCTTCATTGATTTCCAGAGCAACCAGTACTGGAAAGTAGTATTGGGCAGCAGGTTAAACATTATATTAAGGTAGATCTGGTAACAGTTTCAGCTCTGAAAGGTAGTCTCACCTGTGTCGAGAAGCTCTAAAAAGTTTAGCTTTGTTTTAACTCCTGGGAACCTCCTCTAGTTACACCTGGGGAAGATGAATTAAGTGGCCAGTTCTTGCTTTCTATTGAAACTGTCTGCTGTGTGTATTGTACAGTTTGCTTTAGACTCCTATGCCTTCCCTGGTCCCTCTTTGCCCGATGCCTATAGTGAGATTTAGTGAGGTCTGTTTGTAAAGAATGTGAGATCCTTTTTAGAAGGGTTCATAAATTCACAGTGCTTTTAAGGGTGTAGTGTCTGATGTTTCCTGTGTACACAAGAACTGCTTGCCTAAACCATTGCTGTTAGAACTCAGGACCACTTAAAAAGCCGCTCCAGTGATGGCTCTCTTGATCCGCAGGGAAGTTTCAGATGCAGGTCCTCCCACAGTGTGGCCATGCAGTCCATGAAGATGCTCCAGACAAGGTGAGCCCCACTGTGGGATTGAAGCTAGATAAGTCAGGGTCTTCACAGCTGAAATGCAAAAGGGGTCCGTTGCTTACTATGAAGCAGAGATCATACTTCAGGGGTGTTTTTTTGGCACGACATCTTAACTGGCTATTCACAAAACAGCTTGGATTTTTACGCTGTCTGGAAAGCCTGGGCTAAGATGTTACATGACACAGGGCTTGGCTGGGTTACAGATTTAACTCTCAGGCTAGTGGTGATATAATTAACTCTTACCATGTGGAGTGTGGATTTATCCTCCCTGCCTTTCCTCGTGAAGTTCTCCACTCTCCCTTGTACTAAGCTGCAGGTTTTGGGGTTGGTCTGTGTTTTGCCGAGTTGGGTGGCTCACATTTTCCAAATACAAAACAAATGTTACTGAAAGCTTACAGACTGACGGAGCAGTGCTGCGTCTGGGTACTGCTGAAGTTAGTGTCCAGATAGAAGCAGGAATGTGGTGCAGCCAGTGGAGCCTGTGGTTGGAAACATGTCTGGTTTTAAAGCTTGTTCTACACTGACCGCTGTGAGCGTAAAACTCAGCCTTTCTGTGCTTCTCTTTACCAATCTGAAATGGGGATTTTTATCTAAACGTACTGAGTTCTTACGTTGTTATTCTTTTTAATATACATTCTGTCAGGTTACTGTCTTGATTTATTCTTTATAGGAAAAACTTGCATCGTGATTTCACCAGACCTTTTTTCCCTGCTAAACTTAGGCATTGTTTTAAGAATTACTGAAAGAGGTGGAGAAGAAGTTTGGTCAGTTCTTGATTGTGAGATCAGTGTCAGAGTAAGGTGGAAGCACGTAGTTCCTTTTTTTATATAAAAGCATGTTATACAGACCTCTTAGTTTAAAGGAGCAAGCTTGATTCAGCAAGAGGATCCTGAGGACATGAACTGTTGTTGGTAAATGCTGCAGGCTTTGAAAACTGACTGGATTTCTTGTTCTCTTCATGTCCCTTTAAATTCTGACTGATTTTTTTTTTTTTTTTTCCCCTTCCCTCAGGTTGCTGAAGCTGTTGCGACGTTCCTGATCCGTCACAGGTTTACAGAGCCCATCGGTGGATTCCAGTGGTAAGGCCCCGCGGGTGCTAGAGCTTTGCGGGCCTTGAGCAGAGCTCTCACTCTTACTGCCTGCATGTTTGGCTCTCAATGTGGGAGGTTGGAGTTTTAGCATAATGCTAAAAACCACATGTAAACAAACACAGCCAGTAATGCATTTGATGTTTATGTGTTCTCTCTAAACTTCTCGCGTATTAACTTGTGTTAATGAAACCTCCTTCCTTGGAGGGGAGGAGCGAAGCGGATCCTTCCTAGCTGATTCCTTTCTTTTTAGCCTGCCAGAAGGCAGAATTACAAGTTTTATGGTATCTAATTTAAATAACATTTTATTTAAGTAATCAAGGCCTTGTGTTTTGGAAACAACTTGCACCACACTTCTTTGGCCAAGAAATGCTGGTGAGATTAGACAGGTAAAGCTGCGTGCTTCACTTTGCAGACTTTCCATGATTATCTCATGTGTTTTCATATCATAATGAACTGTAGAAGCCAAGCCTCTGCGATCAGCCACACAGCCGTGAGGTTGATCGGAAAAATTCACAAGGTCTCAGTTACAGTACCATAAAGCTAATAACTAAACCAATGCTTAGACCTCATAGAAGGTGCTAATCTGTTTTATCATTCACCTGAAAGGTGATCCTAAAATAAGCATGTTTCTTAAGCGGTCCTGCAAAGTCTTCCTGCTTTTAGCTAAGAATTCTTCAACAAAAGCTAGTAGCCCCAAAATGTGTGATGCTGTAGGACTGGCAATGCTAAAGAGGTATTGCTGGATGATCTCTTTCTTTTTTTCCCCTTTATCCTGAGCCCTTGGGGATGAAACAGTAGAAATGCAGGACTGTGGACTGCGTATTTTAAATCCAGTGAAAGGATATAGTGTAGGTTGATGTGTAAAGGGTGAGAGAGGGAGAAGACCGAAGGACTGTACTGCATTGTAATGTTGAATCTCCACCAGGTATTTGGCAACCCGTGCTATCTCTGTGAGCGTTGAAGGAGCTAGCCGGTTGCTCCTGCTATTAATGGTTGTAGCAAAAGCAGCTTTAAAACAAGAGGCTTGAGAAAGTGGGGTGGCTTGCTGGCCTTATTGTGTCCTTAAGCCATAGACAGCAACATATTAAACTTTTTGTGCTTCTCACTATTACGTAGCTTACAAGTTATTGTTGAATGCATCAATGCTGATTTTAACCTGCATGGTGGACTCCTTTTGTCCCTGTTTGATCTTGGGTAATCAACTAGATTTAGGGTGTCGCAGAGTCAAATATCTGCAGAGAATACCTTGGTTTTAACGCGTGACCTTTCTTCCGCTTTCCTTTTTCCCTCCTAGTGTGTTTCCTGCTTGTTAATACCCTGGTGTTCTCCAGCACTGAGTCCTGTTGTAAATAAACTGCACCAGAGGCCACTGTGATGTATCCATATCCTTTCATCCCTCCAGTTCAGCAGCAGTGAGAAGTTGGTGTGAGATTCATCCCCTAGAACTAGTTCTCCAGAATGTGTAAATGCTTTAGGGACTTCCTTGCTGGGAAGCAGCTTGTACTGAAGACCATGAAAAGCTCTTCAGGCCCTTGGAAGCGGGCTCCTCTCTGCTGCCACAAGGAAAGACCTCCTGAAATCCCAAGTAGTCGATCATACCGATCTCCATCGATTCTCAGGCTTTCTTGGACCCAACGGCAAAGGGGCCGTTGGCAGTCCAGATCCACCGAGGGCATTGCAGCATAGCCAAAGGCTTCGGGATTTCTCCATGGAATCGTCTAATCGTCTTTGAAGTGCCCCTTAGGTTTGTTTTTTATATACACGTTTCTTTCGCCTAAAGCAGATGAGGAATCGGCTTCGTTGGGAGCTCAGGTTTCGTCTCACCGATGCCAGCCTTATGAGTTAAGCTGCGGGAACAGCCTAGATGCTACTTCCCTGTGCAAAGTTGGACAGGACTGTAAAACAAAAAGGCGAGGGGGGACCGTGAGCTCCATTTGAGTCTTGCAGCTTTCTTAATACTTGTTTCAAGTTCTCACTGAGAAAAATAGCCTGGATAACTCCGTCTACTGCAGACACATAACAGGCAGAGGACTCTGGGCCTGCGTTTATGGGGAAGACCCAAGAGCAGCAGTAACAACGTGGTCTGCAGGCAGTTTGCCTGCTTGGCCCTTCTCTGTGCCTGGAATGTGTTTATGCTTCCCTTCTTGTAGCTGCTACACACAACTGAGCAGAGATCAGCGCCTTTTGGATGAAAAAAATGCAAAAAGTGCAGTAGATAAAACCCTGGAAGAGCTTGGAGTCAGTCCTGCTGATGTTGATGCAGAGGTGTAGGCAGCTGCTGCTGCTGCGTTATGCTCCCCCCAGTATTGGAGGAAAGACCTTGTTTTCACCGTCGCTTCCTAGATCGTTTCGCTGCCTGCCTTCCGTATTTCCATGTAAATGCAGTAGTTACACGGAGAGCTTTTCTTCAGGGTTATATTATCCACAGACAGTTCGTCAGATTGCTTTCACCTAAGAATCACTCTTGAGCGTAAGAGCAGACACGTTTTGGAGCAGTTTTCCTCAATATTTTGCTTGCGGATGTCTGAAATATCTTTCTTTTTTTTTTTTTTTTTTTTTTGCCTTGTGTCCATAACCCCTTGATGCTGTATGATGAAAGCAGTATTTTAACGCTGTTTTGCTGAGGCAGGGTTCTGTTGTTGGCCTGATTTGGGAGCTGCGATGTGCATCTATGCGTACGTCCTGCGACAAGAGCCGTCGTGAATTCTTGGCATTCGAGAGGTGCGGGTGGGGCAAAGGGAGACGGTGCGAAGAGCTGGCAAAGCCCGGTTTAACTTTGGCGTTTACCCTGGTGGAGAGCCACTCGCCTCCTCTGATTCATTCGCATGTGAGCCCTGGACACAGCAGTCACGGCCTTGCTCTGTGTCCTTTCCCCGACACATCAGGGTGGGAAATGCCCGAATTAGAGATGAGAAAACCTCATTCCAGAGAGCTCTCCTCTCTCCTGGCGCTTTGGCCATCGGCACTCAGGTGTTCAAAGAGCAATTGCTGGCTCCTGGCACTTCCCTCCGTAAGTCACCGTGTTAATTATCGCATTAGTTCACTGTGACCTAGACGTAGCGTCCACCCCTGGTTTAGTTGCTGATGGATTAAATGGGTCTTCAGTAGTTGAGATACAAAATAGCACTTTCCCCAGCTGTATCCTGAAGATTGGCAAAATTCTCAGTCCTTTTCCAGATGACTCCTGTCTTCAAATTGTTAAGAGACTAAAATAATAGCGGGTGTCCAGAGTCTCACTTCACGGGATAGTTAAGCATGTGCCTGTTGTCATACTCATGAATGATCTCGGTAAAGTCACATTCCTCTGTGCTGAAGTAACTTGGAGGATCTGGCTTCGAGTGATTCGTTGCGGTAACTCCTTGCGTTTGCCTCTCATGTTATCCCTTTCATTTGCTTTTACAGTTTGGGAGATATTAAAAAAAAAAAAAAAAAGCCTCCATGGAAGGCAAAAGAAAATCAGTTTTGTATTCTGTAGAAACACCGTTGGAAAATGAATGACTGTTTCTGAATCCTGTGGGCTCCCCAGAATTATATTTTGTTGTTAACGTTTGAGAAGTGAGTGACAAAATAAATATTTCAACAGCCTGTTTAATGTGGCGTTGCTCCGTGCCAAGCTCTCAGTCCTGACTCGCGCAGAATAGGCAGCCGTTCAGGGACTCACGTAGTGCTGGCTTCAAAAAAAAGGAAGGTGACTACAGGGACAGCAGCGATAGCGGGTGGGTGGGTGGAGGGGGAATTCCTTTTGGCTGTGTCGAGCCACGTACATTTTTGAGACTGTACTTTTGTCTGAAAAATATTAATGCTCCTGTTGCAGTTTCTTCTCCCTTTTCAGGGAGCTACAGGCAGAGATAAATGGTATTTAGGTGAAGGATAGCACAGACCATGGTAAAAGTAGCTGCAGAGAGAAGTGTTCTCTCTGACTCATGAAAAATGGGGAGATTTAGAAAATCCTCCCGTAACTCCCAGCTTTTCACTGCATTTTTCCACAGCCTGCAGCATTGTACTGTCTCTGTGTAAAAGCAGATAAACAGGAGGAAGCTGCCTGAACTGAAAGGATGCTGGGTTTACGCTGGCGCTTTTGATTATTTAGAAATCTCTCTTGCTTTTGTTCCAGTCGTTGGACTGAGGATCGGTGGAAACTTTCACAATGGAAAATCCCAAGGCTTGGCAGGAGCAGAAGATGCAGTTTGGGAGGCTGGTTTGTTGCAGGGTTCGCTTCTTAAATTTCTCAAATCAGACCCAGGAGGGGTTTTGCCAGCTCCCGGGTTATACGCACCGGACAAAACCCTCGGTGACTTGTAGATTGCAGGAGCGTTGAGATTGTTGGAAAAAAGATATTTCCTGTATTGCTGAAGCGTATAGTTCTGCTTTGAATACAGCTCCGGGGAACGCAGAGCTCGGCTGCGTGTCTTTGCACGTGCCTAAGCCAGCACAGTTCCTCTGTGCTGGTGTTTTGAAAACGCTGTTAGTGACCGGGCTGATCGATACCTACAGACGCAGACGCTTGGTGTTGAAACGGTTGCCGAATCGCGTTGCTGCGCGGAGCTCGCTTGGGTTTTTTTTGAGCCTTGTCTTTTTTGTCTTCAGCCTGCCCTGGTCCAGATGTGAAGTGAGGTGGGAGGTGATACCAAAGCCAATTAAAAATACCGATGCTTATTGCGACTGGAGGGTCACCTTCTGTGCAACCGAGACACCCTCTGGAAAAAAAAATAAGCACTACAGTAAAGCACGGAGCGACTTCTAAACCGAGCTCGCGGTCGGGGAGCTCTCAGAGGTGGTGGTGGTGTGGTAGATCCCGTTGGTAACACCAGTAGCCCAGTAAATACCGTGCTGGGGCAGTTCAGAGTGAACCTCCTCGCTTTTCCTCTCTCTGCAGGGCAGGGCTGAGCGATTGCAATAGGGCAAAGTCGCTTGCTGGCTTCTCGTTCAGCGAGACCATCCCAGGACTCCGAAAACTTTATCGGTGTGCTGCCACATTCAACAGGGTCTTCGGTGAACGGGGGAGCACCCGGCAGGTACTGGAGCAGGAGAGAGCAAACAGCTTCGTGCTGATGTTCTCCACCTCCTCGACTTTAGCACTGCCGTTTCTCCTCCCCTCCGCTATCGCCTTTTATCTTGGGTGTGGAAGGGGCTGGGAGGCGTGATCCTCGGAGGTTTCTGGCAATCAGCCGTTCACTGGTTTGAACTGGTGCCTCAACCCTCCTGAAAATCTAGACCTTAGATCTTCAGGTAAGGTCAAAAAAATAGTTTATGGGTTGCCGTTTCCAAGAAAACTTGGCCCTGGTGCATGATAACACCCGTCTCTGAGCCCAGCGCTCTGCTCACAGCCCGAAACTGCCGTTTGTGTTGCCCAAACCTGCCCTCCCTGGGCTGTATCGTCTGCCCTGATCCGTCCGGTAACGCTGCACCTTCGGCACCTCGTCCGTAAGGCATCTGAAACCTGTGGGATAGTGCTTGGGTGTTTGCTCTGAGCTTTGCTGTTGGATGCTTGGCTGGTTTAGGCCAAGCTTTACCAGTCTGGCGGGGTGACCTCTTACCACGTGCTGCTGTTTCCAAAAGGAAAATGTGTGTGTGTGTGTGTGTGTGTGTCAGTTCTCCGGAGACCACGCTCCGCGTCCCGTGTCAGCCTCATCCTGTTCGTGTCTTGTTTGGTGTCCGTTTCTCTCGCCTACAAATAAAGCATTTGTGAAAAGCCTGGGGCAGGAACTCTTTCTTTCCCTTCAGCTGCGGTACTCAGCCTCCTCGGAGCAGCCTGTGGAGGAAGGGTGTTGATCCGGCTGTGCCTGGGCCATCCCTGGGGCCAGACCCAAGCCTTGGGTTTTTCTGGTGACTCACGGAAGCCTCTCGTCATCCCAAATATTCCTCCATCCCTTCTCCGCGCTCCGGGGGGGGGGGGGGGAGGAGGGGGGGGATGCTTTAGCCACGGCTTTTGCTTTTTTTCCCCTCCTCTCCGTGACCCATGGCTCCCACGTGTACAGAAACATCTGAAAGTAATAAACCACGGCGCTCTGGCTGCTGAGTGACCTGTGCTGCGTGTGACCGTCTGCTTTATAATACCCTGAATGCTGGGGTGGTTGTTCCCGTCGGAAGAGCGGGAATTGGGGGAAATTTGCTCTGAAATTTTGCAGGCTGTTCTACGTTCAAGCAGGCTTAACGGAGCCCAAAAGGGCTCCCGTGTCCCAGTGCTCCAGCTCCGGCTCCCCCGCCTGAATGCTGCTCATCCCCTGTGTGCCTACAGAAGGGTGCATCCCAGGGCTGGATAAACACAGCCACAGAGCGATAAATGCACATTTTTGAACCCAAAGCGAGCAGGAGAGCCCTGGGAGAGGTCCGCCTGGTGTTTCTATCCCCCTCCCCAATTTTTTGTCCTTTTCCTTCCAGCTAGCAAAGAGGCCGAGAGGTGGCGGGGTGGCCTGGACCCCCGGGGGAGCTGGATCTCCCCAGGCTGCGGTACCCACCGCCCCTCCATCCAGGAGCTCTTCAACCTCATCCAAACATGGCATAGATGAGGCTGGATGGATGTGGAGTCGGGGAGTTTCTATGCAGGGGCTGATGGTGTCCTCTAGCTTGACCCTCGCTTCGTCCGGGCTCTCCCCCATCGGAAGCACCCGGGGAGAGCAGCGCGGGCTCCCTGCCCGATCTCCAGGCGCTGCCGGAGAGCCCCGCTGCCTCTTTTTGCCTTCCGGTCACGCAGGTGCTGCGGTCGGGCCGGAGAAAGGGAGCTTGTCCGCGGGGCCCCGGGGGAGCGGCGCTCGCGCAAGCGTGGCCGGGCTGGGGGCCAGGGCAGCTGGAAGGCAGCGGCTGCCTTCTCCCTCCCCAGGGTCCCTCTTACAGCAACTGCCCTGCAAAAAAAAAAAAACCCAACCAAACCCCTTCTGGGGTGCAGAGGTGGGGGGCCCCGTGCCGTTGTCGGGACGAGAGCAGAGCGTGGGGCTGCACAACCAGGCCCGAGATGCAGCCAGGCACTGCAGCAGGTTTCTTTGAGAAAGGATAACGTACGGTCTTTGCTCTGGTCCTCTATGGCCATTCTGTTCACTCTGAAGCCTACCGATTACCATAGAAATGCCATGTCACTAACTGCCAGTCCTTTTAGCAGAGAGACTTTTCATCTAGGGCTGGAGGAGGGGGCTTGAGGGTACGTTTAGGGTCCAGGCTGGAAACAGGGGTGGGGGGACACAGACACATACACACCTCTCATCAGCCCGTCGGGTACCTCATCGAGGTGTTTCCCCGATTCCAGTTTAGTGTCTTTTGACTTTATTTTCACCGGATCCGGCCATGGCTGAGCAAGCACCACCGCCCCCGATAGCACCCCGCGCCGCTGCCACCCCCTTCCCTCCCTCCTCTTGCTGCAGCCTTGGGGACACGCTGCGCCGGGGTGGCTTTGCCACCCACGGGTGCCACGTCCTTGAGCCCACGGCGGCTCAGTCTTGTGGGTCGGTGCTGCACGGCCGCCGAAATTCCTGCCCGTGCTCGTGGATCCACTTATTCGCCACTGGAAGGGACAAGGACAAGGACCCCTGTCTGCCTCTGTCCCCCTGCACCCCTCTCCAACCCCGCTCCAGTATCGGTGACGTGTTTTTCCCTGTTATCCAGGATTTTTCTGGGTTCCCAGCACCTCTCGCCTCCCCGCTGGTGGAGCTGCCCCTCCAACCCCGTGTCACCTCGGGGTGACACCGGGCACAGTCTCTCACCCCACTTGTCCCCGGCCAGGACAGGGCAGCCGGCGTGCAGGGTGTCCCCGTCCCCGTCCCCATTCCTCCGCAGGTTCCACCAGAAGAGAGCTGCGTTCTGCGGAGCAGAGAGTGAGTGGGAGCCCCGGGGTTTGGCACCCCAAAAACAGAGCTGGGAGCCCCAGAATTGGGGTTTGGGACCCCAAAAGAAAGCTGAGAGCCCCAGGGATTGGGGTTTGGCACCCCTAAAACAGAGCCAGGAGCCCCAGAATTGGGGTTTGGGACCCCAAAATAGCAGGGATCAGGGATTGGGGACCCCAAAATAGAGCTGGGAGCCCTGGGGTTGGGGTTTGGCACCCCAAAACAGAGCTGGGAGCTGCGGGATCGGGGTTTGGCACACCTCAAAGGGAGCCAGGAGCCCCATGGCTTGGGTTTGGAACCCCAAAAATAGAGCTGGGAGCCATGGGGTTTGGGTTTAGCAACCCAAAACAGGCAGGAGCCCAAGGGTTGGGGCTTGGAACCCCTAAAACAGAGCTGGGAGCCCTGGGGTTGGGGTTTGGCACCCCAAAACAGAGCTGGGAGCCCTGGGGTGTGACACCCCTAAAACAGAGCTGGGTGTCCTGGGATTGGGGTTTTGGCACCCCAAAATAGAGCTGGGACCTCCGAGATTGGATTTTGGCATCCCAAAACACGACGGGAGCCCCAGGGTTAGCGTTTGGTACCCCAAAACAGAGTCTGCGGCTCTAGGGTTGGGGTTTGGCACCCCAAAACAGATCAGGGAGCCCCGGGGTTGGGGTTTGGCATCGGGACAGGCTCAGCCACAACTCCCTGCGAGAGACGAGACACAAGAGAGCAGCGTCCCCCCCTTCCCCTCTCCCGGGGGGCTCGTGCGGGTCCCCCCCTCACCTTAACCACGGGCACGCTGAAGTTGGCGTGGATGAAGGCGGTGGAGCCGCCGGCCTCCACCGCACTCAGCTGCAAAAGGAGCAAAAATATGAGCCATGGCCGTCCCCCTCCTCCTGTGACATGGCTGCTTTGCATGGGGAAACTGAGGCACAAACCCTCCCTTGGTCCCCAACCGCATTTCCCTCGCTATGGCATGGCAACGGCATGGCACAAGCTCTTAAATACTCTGCAGACGTTGTCATTTAACACCCCACCACAGTCTGATTTAGGGCTACCCTCGCCCATCTCAAACCCTGTTCACTCTGAACCCTACTGATGACCAAGCAAGTGCAGTCTCTCCAGGCCTGGAAATGAGGGAGGACTCACGTAGATCATGACCGTGGCGATCCTGTTGCCCGACTTCATTCTGTAAAGGGGGCTCTTCCTGGACTGCCCCAAGAGCGAGGAGGTGGGGACGGTCAGTCCCGTGGGGACGGTCAGTCCCGCACTGACGCGGCTTGGCCTGGAGGCACCTCACGGCCTAACAGCTCCAAGCTGCCCCCAGGGAAATCCCTCCCTCGCCCTTCTTTTCTCTTCCTCCTTCCTCCCTCTTCCCTCACCTCCTTCCTCCCTCCCTCCCTTCCCAGGAATATCCCAGGCACCAACCCAGGGATCACCACCAGCCCAGGGACCATCCCAGTGTCCACCTCCAGGAACATCTCAGGGAACATCCCAGGGATCGCCATGGGGACATCCCCAGGGACCATCCAAGGACCTCCCCAGGGCACCATCCCAGGAGCACCCCAGGGCCCATCTCCAGGAACATCCCAGGGACCACCCCAGAGACCACCCCAGGAACCATCCCAGGAGCACCCCAGGGACCATCCCAAGAGCACCACAGGAACCACCCTGGGCACCACCCCACGGACCACCCCGTGGACCACCCCGGCAGCTCCCTGACCGTGGCATGGTCGAAGTGTGGCTCGTAGTGGCCTCCCAACCCATAGTTGACCACCTGCAGGTACTCGGCGTAGGGTGGCCGCAGGTCCAGGCCGGTGATGGCAGCGATGCGCTGCTCCAACGACCGTACCGCCGGGTCGGTGGTGTCCTTCAGCCAGGCGCTGCGGGAGCACCCCACCTTCAGCCCCCCCCCGAATTCACGTGTGGCTGGGCTTAATCCTCGCAGCACTGTTGGGTGCGGAGGACCCAGGCCTCCCCAGCATGGCTTCACTGCCACCTTGGTGGTGGCAATGGGGCCATGGTGGTCCCGCTGGCTGGAGGACAGGGGATGGGGTGGCTTCTACCTCTTGCTTATCCGGTACTCGGCTTTCTGCTGCTTCTCCCCAGAGGCGACCACGGACCTCTGCGGTGGGGGAACAAGCCCTCTGCAGGTGGGGGTCACATCGGGGGGGGGGGGGGAGGATGTTGCTGCAGATGGGGACCCTCACACCAAGCAGGGACCCCAGTCGGGGTCCAAGCTGGGGGGTTTATACCAGCTGGTTGCCAAACATCCCCACCCCAAGGTGTCCCACCGGGGTGATGGAAGCAGTGATAGCAGTTGGATCCAACGCGGTTGGGTGCCACCAAGTCAAGCCTGGCTGGGAAGGGGTTTAGGTGCACACATGGACCTGGTTTCTCCCCAGAATCTTTTGGGGGGCTCAGATGGAGCTAAGCTGGGCTCATCCCCCCCCTCCCCCAGGTCTTGCTGCAGAAGGCTTTGGGTCAGCCCTGGCTTAAAAACCCCTCCTATCTCTGCATGCTCAGGGTGGTCCACCCTGGACCACCAGCTCGTGGGGCACCGTCCTTCAGGAGAGGGACATCCCTGGGGACTGGGACGGCTCACCCAGGGCCCTGCCAACCCCTTGATGGTCTCAGCCTCGGTGTCGCTGATGAAATCATGGTACAAAGCCACGTAGGGTTGGATCTGGACCATCTCCTTCTTGGCAGGCTGGAGAAGGAGGTAGGGGCTGCCGTTGGTCTCGTAGGAGCAGTGGAGTTGTGGGAGACGCTCCGGGGCCGGCTGGGAAGAGAGGACAAAGGAGGGCGTGAGAGGTGGGACAGCGGTGGGGTGGGGGACCATGGCACCCCCCCGCCAGCCCCACCTGCCCCCCTGGGCGCTGGCACAGCTCCTCGTAGGTGTCGCGGCTCTGCAGGTGGGTGCCGTTGGGGCGTCGCAGGGGGCCGGCGCTCGCCGCCGTCCCCGTCTCCAGCAGCTTCTCGTACTTGGCCACGTTCCTCACCACCCTTTGGTTACTGGGGTCTGCCGGAGAGGTGGTGTCACCCGAAACGCCGTGTCCCCATCACCCCCCTTCCCTGGCATCGGTCCCTGGAGAATTAACCCACGTGGGGGCAAGAAATGGGATGAAGGAGGCTGGTGCCATGCAGAGGTGATGGGGACACCCCAAAAAAACCCTGTCCCCTCCTCCTGCTGCATCTGAGGTTGCCCCATGTACCGTAGTGGAGAAACTCCCTGGAGAGGCTCAAGGCGTGGGAGATGTTTCCAGCCTGGATGGGAGAAGCGGAGAGCCCATGAGCATCCCCCTGCCCATGTTTCGGCTCCACCGGGCACCAGGGTGATGGGGATGGGACTTGCGACCGTACCATGAAGTAGGAGAAGGCGAGATGGTCCAGAGCATCCTCCAGGCTGCTCCGGTCCTCGGGGTTCCAGCTGCCGTAGGAGAGGCGGAAGAGGCCGACGGCCTCCTCCAGCCACGCGATGGAGTGGTAGTAGTCGCCCGTGTCATAGGCCACCTGCGAGGCAGCGCACCACCCGGACCCGCCGGCTGGGCCAGCCTGGCCTGCATCCCCTCCCCACCCTGTCCCATCCCATCCCCTCCTGTACCATCCCATCCCACCACATCCCCATCCTCATCCCATCCTGACCCATCCCATCCTATCCCCATGACCATCTTCATCCCAATCCCACCCCCATCCCCTTCCATCCTGTCCCTACCCTGTCTCATCCTGTCCTATCCCATCCCCATCCCATTCTATCCCGTCCCCATGCCATGTCATCCCATCCTATTGCAATTCCCACCCATCCTGTCTCATCACATCCTGTCACTTTCCTATTCCCATCCCCATTCCCTCCTACGCCATCTCCATCCTGTCCCATCCCTTCCTTTCCTGTTCATCCCCATCCCCATCCTCATCCCCCATCCATCCTGCTCCATCTCCACCTCCATCTCATGCCATGCCATGCTGTCCCATCCCATCCCATCCCATCCCATCCCATCCCACCCCACCCTGTCCCATCCCATCCCATTCCCACGCTCTAACACTCCATCCCAGCTCTGCAGTGACACTCAGAGGACTCTGCCCTGAACAAAAATCTCTATCAAAGCACCCAAATCCTCTTCCAGGGAATTATGGCCCCCCGGGTGGGGGCCGACCCCGTACCCAACCGGGATGCTGGGGCAGGAGGTCTCCCCCACGCCACCGGCTTTGGTCTGCTCTTCCCTTCCCCAAGCCACGAAGCAGCAAGAAGCCCCATTATTCGGGCAAAAGCCGAGAGGCGATGGCAGGCGGGCGGATGCCTGTAGGCTGAGTCAGAGGGGCCCCTCCGCATCCATGCGGGAAGAAAACCCAACGTCTAGCCCTACGGAAGCAACATCCCGGGCTGGAAAAGCTTTGTGGGGGGCTGACGGGGTTCACCCTCACCTTGCCCACATGGAAGCAGTCATCGGCAGAGAGGGAGACGCGCCGGCTGGGGCTGTAGAGGGGTGGGCGGCTGGCGCCGGCTCGCTGGAAGACACCGTTGGCCATGCCCTTGACGCTGAGCGCGTAGACGTCCTGCAGCCGCATCAGTGCCCGGGCAGCCCCGTCCAGGTCCTCAGCTCCAGGCAGCTCCTGCTCCACCTCCTTGAAGCCAGCATGGAGTGCTGAGGGTGGGTAATGGGGTGCACGGAGGGGGATTAATGAGCTTTTGGGGGTGCAATCACCCTTATCAGCCCTTCTCCATCCCCGGGGACCCCACATGCTGTCTGCTCCACCTCCTTGAAGCCAGCATGGAGTGCTGAGGGTGGGTAATGGGGTGCACGGAGGGGGATTAATGAGCTTTTGGGGGTGCAATCACCCTTATCAGCCCTTCTCCATCCCCGGGGACCCCACATGCTGTTCCTCCACCCGTTCCCCTGCTCCTCCACCCATTCTCTGCTCCTCCAATCCGTTCTCATAGAATCATAGAATCATAGAATCATTGAGGTTGGAAAAGACCTCTAAGATCATCGAGTCC